CCGTCTTGATAATTAAGCATGCAAACAGGCATGCATAATTATTTAACAAGCTATTTCATGTGCCGGAAAGTAGAATATTTCAAAACTAAGTGAGGGAAAATTTTGAAAATATTAATATCTACAGGGCATGTATATACATGTGTGTATTGTTATGAAATAGTAATTTTAATTATCATCCTTACCCTGGAGTATTAGATGCAGATTTTGCCTTGCTCTTCCCTCCCTATTTATACTTAAATGCTATTACTTTAAAAAATAGCCTTCATTGTTATATTTAATTGTGTTTTCTCTTTCAATTTAGGTAAGGTGTTCCCTGCTATGGGAAAGTCTAATGTTCCTATCTGGTATTATTTGCAAATTATTTGTTAGTTCTAGAATCACTATAACTATTAACTGATATGAAAAAGAAATTTAGTGTTCCAAAAATTCTAACCTACCAAATCATGCCAAATAGGAAGACTCTTCTTTAGGATTGCAGGTTAAACTCATATCAACAAGGAGCTTTTCTGGGGTGATTCCATGCAGCATATCAAATCCATAGCATTGCCACTAGTGGTGTAGTTTAGATCCACAGTGCACTTGTCCAGCACCAGCAATACTTCTGTCACACAGTGTGGACATGGAGACACACTCAAAACATCCCATCAGCTGGTCCCAGGTGTTTCAAAGACTCAGATGCTCCCTTCTCTTTAGGCAGTCATGATTGGTTCCCACCACGACCCCCCTAGATCCTTTTTTGCTCATCCTTCAGCGTCTTGTGTCTTCCTGCCAGTTGCTCATACCCACTGTCTTCTTCAGAGAATTGTCTTTGGCTTCTGGAGCCTCCCTCTAGGATTCCTTGAGGAAAATACAATTAGAACAAATGATGCTGCTATGGTTAATGCTTGACAGATGTGAGGGTGCAAACTCTCACTCCCTTTCGGAGATGAGAAGCATTCTGAGATGGGTAGAGGTAGACTGCAGAGTTCCCTGGGGGTCAGTCTGAGTCTGGATGCAACCAGAAATCACACTTTTGAAGAATTTCCTGTCTTTTCCCTACTTCCTCACTGGTTTCTCCTGGAACTGTGTCTTCATAAAGTTCTCTGCACCCAAATCCCTGACTCCGGGTCAGCCTCTTCGAGAAGGATACTTAAGGGGATAACTTCTTCATCTGCTTTGAGTCTGTTGATGATCTCTTAGTAGATTTCTTTTTCACTTAAGTGTATGCTCAGTTTGCATCATTTGCTTCAAAGGAAATTGTAAATATAGCAAACCCCATCAGAGGACTGTAAGTGGGGTGTAAAGCGGTCAAGTTTGGCCAGTTTGGAGGATGCATTATTGGTGTGCATTGCCTGCTGCAGTGGGCTGGCGTTGTGATGAAACACTGATAGTCAAATCCGGACTGTATAAATTGAGCTATAATGGGTTTTCACTTTAATATAAATCCTAAATACCCTCCCCACAATTTTAGGAAAGGCATTCTGGCATATTTCATTTCTGGAAATCAACTGTCACATGATCTTAAAATATTCAAAATTTAACATGATCTTAAATTCATTTAATATTTCTCATTGAATAGCCTCATATATTAATATCTGAAGTCACTGTAAGATTGGGTGATGAAGTATCACTGCCCTTACTAACTCAAGGGAGATAATGCATATGTGGTATATAATTAATTTGTGCTTTTTCTTCTATCCCTTTTCCTTTCCTCTTGAGATCTTTTATTGTGATTACCTTTTTGCTTTAATAAATATATATTGACATTATCTGTTATCCCTTTGTCATTCAATAAAACAGGGATATCTTAACACAAAAATAACCTAATGTGCGTAATTTCTGAACTTTCCCAGTTTTCTTCTTCCATTAGACAAGCATACTGCAACTTCAATACTTCTTGCTGCAGTTGGGAAAATCTTCTGAATTTGCTAGTATAGTTATTTGGTTTTCTGTTCAATTTCACTCGCTAATTCGCAAACTTTAGCATATATGAGAATACACAGGAGTACTGATTACTGGAACACAGAACAGAACTGTTCTTTGCCAAGGTGAATCTACTTATAGGCATGCTTATATAAAAATCTTTCATTCCTTAATCTATCATTACTGTGAAACATGCTTCTTCTGAGGCTCTCAATAATCATTTGCCAAGTGAGTGAATAAACCAACTGCCTCACATCTTTGAAACCACATATGTCCACAAGTCTGCATTTGGCTGCTTCTTTAAGACCGCAAGATAATTGAAAGAACATTTGGCTTTGTCTGTCTTCATTCTGTATAAACCATTCCATCATTTTTGTAAAATTATGAATGCAGTCAAGTTTTTCACAGGTGTCTCCTGATAAATTTCTACATGCCTCATGTTGCCTCTTTCTTAAACTCTTTAATGTATTCAGGAATTTGAAAAGGTTATTTTGAATCAAATTTTTAAACTATATTTTATACTTACAAGTAAATTATGGCCATTAAAGTTGTTATTTGAAGTAATTTAGAGTGTTTTCAACAAGTATAAGAAGACCCCCAATTATGTTTAACAGTCTAATTTTGTTTTGTTTTGCTTTTGCTTTGTTTCCAGCCAGTAGGTTTGTCAGAAAAAAAAAATCCTTTAAGAAAATTCAGGCAATAGAATTTTGCGGCTTCTGTAAAATGGATACAAGGGAATTGTTTAGGTAGACTTTATGATTGTAGACTATTAAAGTAACTAAACCTGTGCTGTCATCTGTTCTTTCACTTTTCTTTGTTTTGATTTGATGTGACAGTTGCATTTGTGATTCATTTAACTCAAAGCTTCTGCTTGATAGTAGACACTCATATATGCCATGCGTGTATGTCAGATACAGTTTTGAAAGTCTTTCCCTCAGTTTTGCATCTGAAGCTCCAGATATACTGTCTTTTATTCTCACCAATTATGTTTCCTCTTCCTCCAATCTTTTATAACCTATATTAATTAGCAGGGGCCTTTTGAACACATTATGGATTTAGCAGCATTCTACAAAGGGAAATATCTTTGAAATCATACAGTTAGACGTGAGTTTAAATTTCAACTTGGAGTTTATTAATTATGCCACCTGGGTCATATAGCTCAAGCTCCCAAGAACCATCTATGAAAGAGAAATAACCTACATGCCTTACTATATTGCTGTGAATATTAATCAGGATACAGTATGATAATCTGAGCATAGTGTCTAACATACACCAAAAGTCATATGGTCATATACATGTACCTTTCACAGCACAACCTGCACATCATTCGTGAGGGCTGAGTTGCTCTTTGCAGTCGCTTCAGGTTCTGATTGTCAAAGTTGTATATTCATTCATCTGCATCTATGTAGTCTCATCACTGTCAACACCATGGGATGCTACTTCTCTTTAACATTTCCCATCCACAGTATGTTGATACGGCTCCTATACATTTCTTTAATGGCAAAATTTTGCCAGTTCATTGTGGTGGGATTCTAATTTATTTTTATATATAAGCTAAGCTACAGATTTCATGTAGTTTGTGGTCTTTATAAAATAATTGACAATGAAAAAATATTAGTAAAAATTTCACTTAGACAACTAAAGCTAATTCTATTCAAAACATGAAATAGAAAATGTAAACTCACTATGTGATTTATTTGAATAATGAAGAGTAGAAAATAAACTCTTCACACTTAATGTAAAGTGAAACAAAGGAGAATATTAGCAATCATTGTAAAAGCCTGTTGACCAGCATTCTAATTATAATAAAGACTTGAAGGTGTGAGAATTTAGGTGCAATGTTTTTCACAGATGAAAGTGTATTTCAAATGCAGTATTTATAAAGTGTCTTCTACCTGGTATCACAGGAAATATTTGCTAATTTATCTAACTTGTTTAAGGTACCTTTAGCTAGGAAACACACACACACGCACACATAGATAGACACAGCAGATACATTTATATGAGAGAAGTTTGACAAGATTGATGCAGTCACATGCAATCAGAATGTTTCTCTGTTCTATTGAAAAGCAAAATTGCTTTTGGGTTTACAGCCACTTTGAGCGTCCTGTATCCTAATAGAATTGTCTTTATTGATTATTCTTAAATGCTAAAATCTTTTTATTGTTAAAATAAATTTAACTTGTTTGGAATATACTTTAGAAATATGTCTGGAATCCTTTTACATCGTTAACATAACATTGGGTTATACCACAGTATATGATTCAGAGGTAAAGATCCACACTTCTTCAGATGTCCCCACACCCACCATCAAGGTAGCCATAGTGGAATCTGTTACTGATAATTGGTCTGAAATTTTTGCATCAGTGTTAAGAAGAGTTTTTCCTGCAGTTTCCCTCCTATCTGCCATTGTTATAAAGTATTGATAGCAAGATAAAAATTTTCCTAACAAAATAATTTAGAGACATTCGCTAGTTATGTTCTGCATGCATTGCTATTCTTTAAATATTTCTTGTAATATAGAGTTGAAGACATCTGGGCCTTTGGTTCTTTTGTTTACTTTTTAATAGAGACTGTCAAGTGGAATAATTTAAATTTTTAATAGATATAAAATTTTAATAATTTGAATTTTGTTTTCTTTATGAATTTGTTCAACTAACCTAATTTTTCAAATTCATGGAACAACCATTCCATTCAAAAATATATGATTTTTTTATTATTTTCATTAATGTCTTCAATTTT